GGGAGGGAGGCTGAACAGCCGCATTGCTGAGGAGGGGGCGGGGCTGCTGACGCGCGCTGTACGCACCGGCACGGGCCGCTCGATGGTGGCGAAGCCCTTGACCTTGCTGACGCTGAAGCCGGTGACGAACCAGTCGTCCGCGACGGGCGGCATGCGCATGCGAAAGAACTCCTCGCCGCCGTACTCGTCGTTCATCTCGCGCCAGCCCCAGTCGCCGCCGTGCAGGTCGTACATGTCCTGCCACGCGACGCGCCAGCGCCAGCTTAGTTCCCACGCCGTCCGCTCGCAGCGCTCTCGCAGGGGCGCTCAGGAGGGACAGCTGGGACAACTTGCTTCAAGCCCCGACATAATTGGGGAAACATGCAAACATACATTCACTTCTAATTACAATTAACTGTTGTAAGTTATTTTTGTTGCATGAAGAGATGAATTATGTTTATGCACAGGAGGGGGTGGGGCTTACGTTTGAAATAAGAGGTCTTCGAGGTTCTACTGTCTGGGCACATCTGGGTATTGATCGGACTTGGAACCTGTGGATAGTGCTTCGCATAAGGAAAAGTGAACGTCAGGTGGATACCAAAGTGACCGAGATACTCGTACTCGGATCTTAATATCAAACAATATGAATTTTATCACGAGAACATGTCAAAAGGTTGATAATAAATTAGTGAAAGAAAAAGGTAATGTTATTAAAAAATTGTTAAGTAACCACATATTATGAGTACGAATGCTAAAATTGTCTTGGTCACTTTGGAAATCGATTGAGGTTCACTTTTGTTTAAGGTAAGGCTTATCCAGAGAACCACATCAATCGGTCTCGTACGGCCGTTCTTTTCTGGGTCTGCTGGTCTTCCACATTCAGAATACACTTCACCAGGAAACCAGCTGAGCTCCAAATTTGAAAGCAATTGTTTTTATAATTTTGAAAAATATTACAAAAAACGTAATGAGGCAAAATATTTTATTAATATTAAATATTAAAGAGAATTGCGGAATAGTCCAAAAGTAGTTCGATTATTATTTTTATTTTATTTTATTTTAATAGATAATTTTAAAGAAAACCAATACATTTGATCCAAAAGATCAAGAGCGCTCAGAGAAAATCAAGGGTCTAGGGCAGTTCTTCGGGGGCCTTCCTTTCAAATAAAAGAAGTCCCTTCTCCCAATTCATAAAACGAATTCATTTCTCCATGCATCAAAAATAACTTACAACGTTAAATTTGGTTAAAGATAAGTATGTTTCTCATCTCTTTTGAATGAAAAAGAAAATCGGGGCCGAAATGAAGTCGTGGTCTGGGTAAGTTGCCCCAGCTGCTTCCCCCCTTCTGGACGCCCCTGCAAAAGATCGTATGCCACATTTCAAATATATACGTTTTCAGGTAATTAAAGGTAATTTAAAATAATATACTATCAGAGGAAAACACAGTTATACGTACATACCAATAAAATAGTTATTAGTTCACTATATTTGAAGTAAATTTCATAATATTAAAAGTAAATTATATTATATTAAAAGAATAAAATTAGTAGGCATTCAAAATGTCTACACATTTTATTCTCTTATGTTACTAGTGATAGATGTTTAGTAGTACTATGTAATGCCGCAGACGAAGTGCCGATTTTTGAACAGATAAACAAACACGCTTTGAGTGCCCTGATATCGAAAACGTGTTCTTCCGTCCCATTACATATGCAGGTAAACACTTTCTCTTATACACTGTGTGATCACAATAAACGTTTTGTGAGTCCTTAGTACTGAAAAAAAATTTTTTTCTCAATTCGTCTGTCTGTCCGTTGGTCTGTCGGTGAGTAACATTAGTAAACCGGTTAAACAGGATTTTCACCAAATTTCAATCCATTCCCGTTCTTCCCCGAATCAAACTGGCTGATGTCGGTCCATCAAATTTGAGATGTAACCAAGATTGAAATTTAATTTTTTGAGAGTACTTGGTCTCAGAATAAATTCAATTTTTTCTCAAACATGAGTCCATTTTTTTCTTTAAATGAATTTGTCGAATACAGCAAAAAGCACTTATAACAACGGTGCAGTACCGATTTTCGAAATGAATATTCCGAAAATAGCAAAGATTAAGCACTTTTTGGCAACCTGTCCAATCACCTTAAGCTACTGATTTTTCTTCATTAAGTATGTTCTTCAAAATAAGACATTTAAACAATATCATAGGCAATATATTGAAAATATTATAATTTCGTCTATTTTTTAAATACACAAACTTGGATCACAAACGGCTCAAATTTGTAATTCATTATTAGTAAATTTTTAATTTGTCGATAGAACAATTTTCGTTTAATAATATGGCATATGCCCGATTTTTACGAAAACCTTCGGAAGATCGAAAACCGCAAAAGATTTTTTAACTTGTTTTACACTGGCACTATTGAAGGAATTGAGGAATAATACTCGTATATTTTTTAACGCAATATATTCCTCAATTTTGATCTTTAAATAATTTCATGAACACCTTTTTTCAAAATATCAGACGTTTCCGCATAATTTCGAGTTTTAATGTGTGACAATCATAGAAACAATATGCGATTAAACATAATGCAAGGGAAGATTCTGAGCTGCTGAGTTAGCGTCTTCCCTTCATATTTGTTGCGTTCAAGTCCAACCTGTTTTTTTTTTTTGGTTTGTTCACTTCTATTTAAAATTGTTTGAAAGAATGTAAGACAAATTTTTCTCAGTTCAATGGTATAAAGCATTTTTCATTAACGTTTACAAAATTTCATATCTTTAAAAATTAATGATGTGCATTTTTTAAGTTCTCATGCTTCGTTTTCTTAGGAATTTTCAGAAACTGAAGTGTTAGTAGAAAATAAATTGTAATATTTTAATATTGCGTAACCAGTACCAATAAAAAGAGAAATATATTCTTCTGCAGCACCACTAGTATTATTTGTACTGCTACATCGTAATCATTGTTCTCGAGGCTTGAGACCGCTCTGAGAATGGCATGTTATTAAGATGAAAAGGGGCTCGAGGTAATAGCAACAACAACGAGAGGAAAATAGTTTTTCTTCTATTTGGGCACACTCAATTTGTATTAATTTTAAAAATTCCAAAGTTAGGTCTTTCTTTAATTTGGAAGGCATTTTAGGAGTTAGGATAGGCAAGACCGCGAAGTGACAAAATTAAGGAAACTCACTTAATTTCAAGTGTAGACTAACAATACTGAAACACATGTTCCAATAAATATGTTATAAGCATTATAAAAGAGCTCTATGATCCATCCAATTTTGAATAACACAAGATTTTTATTTTGAAACTATACGAATGGCATCACACATCCGTTTTCGTCTCTCCCAAGACGACGTATTCAAGAAGAAAACTAACCATTTGCAAAGACGCGTTTTAAGAGCGCTCTACACTTAACGACTTCTTTTTTGCGCGATCACCGTAAAAGATCCAGCGATGAGCGAGTTCCTTGCTGAAGAAACACATTTGAGGCAAAAACGAAGTAATAAAGATACAAGGTGCTTTTGCTGTCCCATTCCTCTCGGAAGCGAAGCGACTGGACTCCTAATAAATCCCTAGCGGAAAGAGACAAAAAACAAGAATACGGGTTTATACAGTTATGTGTGCTGCCAATCTACATCTATTTTGAGAGATGGCTGGTAATGAAAGTTTCTAAATTCTTTCGAGGGCAATCAAGCGAAGGAAGTTCCTTACGTAATGGGCATTCATTCAGCTGAACTCTCGCCGACGCAGTGTAACTAAAACGGGAAAAGTGGCACACCGAAATGTTTTCTCGCCTTAGCGTCGAGAAATGTAGAATTTGGATATTATTATGATTCGGCATACCGAAATATAACAAAATTGTAATCGTGTACTTATCATTTACCTCCGTATTCACCTAAGTAAATCCATATGGGTTTGGTGATTGATGGGGTTCAGTTCGGGGACACTGAGACCAGCTTAACGACTGATCCCAGCGTCCCTGTTACTATAGGTTAGGTAAAAGTATTTTACGGTTTTGGGGACTTTTCATTTATATTTTTCTCCGCCTCTTGTCTCTCAGCGGAGAAATAAATACGGTTTTACAACTCACGAACTTACAAATCTCGTTCGATGATTTTTGACTCGATTCCACATCCTACAGCTGAAGAAAATCGATAAATGAATACTAATATGAAACTAAAAGGCAACACCAGCTCGTTTAGTTAATTCTCAGCTTTATTATAGCGGAATAAATTGGGTAACAATAACAACACAGAAGTGAAATGTTCAGAAAATTGCTTGAAAGCAGGCATTGTGGGTGCAATCAGATGCTTGGTTTCGGGATGAGTGATAAATAATTAGTTATACATGTGATTAATTCCAGGAAGAACGGAGAGGAAAAGCAAAGGACAATGTCCACTGCAATTTCATAGTGGATCGGCATTCGAACGCCCATCCCGCAGCTAGGAAGATTGAAAAAAGTCCACAGAATAAAGCATAACCCTTCCTTTCCGCTGACGAGTAAATATTACTAATAACAGAAGTATTTTATGTCTGCTAGCACCGAATTTTATTACAAACGAAAAATATGTAAAAGAGGCGCCTCGTCTTTCGATACGGCAATGAATTTACACGGAATTTTTGTTAAATAAAGCCATTACCAAATCGATAGACCAAATGTATGTTCGAAATTATTTTTGATGATTTTTACTTTTCCGTATACGGAGTAATGTACGTCGTATAGGAAAAGTTACGTAATGCTGCGAAAAATCAATTTCGAGATTTTCAACGAAAATATACGTTTTAGGGTTCCCTGATACCGAAAAAGTGTTTTTTTCCAAAACGTCCGTTCGTTCGTTTCTTTCCTTCGTTCGTCCGTCCGACTGTCCGTCAGTTCGTCCGTCAGTTCGTTCGTTCGTTCGTTCGTTCGTTCGTTCGTTCGTTCGTTCGTTCGTTCGTTCGTTCGTTCGTTCGTCCGTCTACTAGCGCCTAAACCATGCGAGGGATTTTTTCCAATTTGAAGAAACCCCTGTGCAATTGGCCTGGGTTGAAGCTCTGGGATTTTAAAAATCTTACTGGGGGTACATTACATGAAGCCCCTGGGACATTTTCAAAATTTTCTCAAAAACAGCTCCAATTTTTTTCTTTAAATTTCTTGTAAGAATAGAGTAAAATACACTTTTAAAGGTGGCACATGTCTGATTTTCGCGGTTAACTCTGAATTTTCGAAAATTTCGAGAGTTTGAATTTTATTCGGGGTCTTCCTACAACTACAAAATTTATTATAGATATTTTTCCTTCAAATTAAATTTGTTGCCCATAATTTGTTCTTTCATTAAGGTAATGCACATTTTTTGAAAATTTTAGTAGTTTTCGCACAATATTGCGTGCAATTTGTGCAATTAAAAAATACAAAAACATGATTTTTTTAAAAGGCTCCTAATTTTTTCTTTAAACTTTTGGTAGGGATTGTGCTAAATGCTCTCTATAAAGTGACATAAACGCCATATTGCTCTACTATTTTGTTTTTTCAAAAATTACCAAAATGTAATTTTTTTAACTTGTCTTGCTCGTGGTTAATATTTACATGGGCGGTAATTTCCTTTCATTATGTATTTATGAATACATTTCCTTTAAATAATGTCACAAAGTTTCCCGAAAACTCAACAGTTTTCTGTGAAAATGAGGTCCAAATTCTGCATTTTTAGAAACGCTCAAATTCTCAAAAACGGCTCCAAATTCTGTCCTCCAACTTTTCAAACAGATAATGCTAATTGCACTGTTTAAGATGACATAGAATTAATTTTGCTGCATTCTTTTATTTTTTTCAAAAATCATACAAATGTAATTTAATATGTAAATGTAATTTTTTAAACATCTCTCACACCTTTAATATGCATATTTCCAGCGATTTGTACTCATTATTGCATTTGGGACTCGAAGTTCTTGAAATGACGTCATATGAAGTTTTTTCTTAAAAACGGCACCAAATGTTTCAAAGAAAATTGCCAATTAGGACGAGGTTTTGTTGTTCTTTTATAATCTTAAGATAAAATTTCCGTTCTATTAGAAAGACGAAAAATTAAGAAAATTTCAAAAAAGTACTTTGGGCTGAGATAAATGGCAGCTGGGTAAGTGTAGGTGGCAAGTCCGAATAGCTAGCCGAGACCAATGGAAATAGAAAACTAATACGGGAAAGTCTGTGCCATTTGTAGCACCACTGATTTATATTCTTAAGACGATTTTACACTTTTAATAGTATTTTATTTTTAATTATTCAGACCCTTTGGTGGAAAAATAAAGATATTGTTCCCTCTTGCAACGTCCACAAGAAGGAAGGTCATGTGTACTTTTATGTACGAGTAATTTTTGAAAAATCAGAGGTTTGTTGTTATTTATAACCACTTTTGCGATATGAGACATTGCGTTGTTCTCTATTCAAACAAATTTTTCGAGAAAGATGTGCAGACGTATTTGGGAAAATCATGTTTACATATTTTTGGAATACTGACCGAAATCTTAATTATGCGAAAACTGCTAATATTTTGAAAGTAGTGCAGCTGCAACTGCTTTCCCGCATTATTTTAATGGCTGTATTATATTACTACACGAACCTGCAAAAGTGTTTCCAACCAGCAATTCCCTTTCTCCGCGTGGAGATTCGAACTCAGGCCCTTCGAGGTAACACGTCAGGCTCGTATTCCCTACACCACCAGTTACACGAGTGTACCCCACTTTTCCCTAGGCTTAAAAAAACTAGAGGTGTATCACATTATTCGGTCAGATCGATCGGTGAATAACAGTTTTGGAGAAAATCGTCTGAACGATTTAGAACATAGCGTTACCGCAGACGGACGAACATACAGACGTTTTGGCGTTTACCAATTTCTAGGTTTCAAGAATCTACAAAACGTGCATTTAGACTAACACAATGTGTAAGAATAGTGATTTAAATCTGAATAGTTTTGGAAAGGATATGGATGAACAAACATAAAAAATTATACACGATGAACTGTGCAATTCCTTCCTTTCGAGGTCGGCTAAAACTATCGTGACACGAATTAAACTAAGAATAAGTTTACCTTGTTGTTTCTTCTGGAAATAGGAGATATTCTACACAACACACTACTTTCAACACAACTAAAAATGCGAAAATAAACCAATTAATAAAATAAGTAAATAGAAAACAAATTAACACTAATGGAGTAGCAGTCAAACTGGGATATCTCCAAACTAGCGAATTTTTAGAACAGAATTGTTGATTGAACGAACTAAAAAATATTGGAAATATATTTACAAAAAACCTTGGATACATGGAAAGCAAGAGAAGTATGGAAAATATAAAAGAACAGAGAAAATTATCAGAAATCATTCGGAGAATGGGGTTGATATTTTTTGGTCATATCTAGAATGGAAAACTAAAAAAATGTTTCATATCTATCAGATATTGATGCAAAGGGTGAAAAATATTGTGAAAGAAATTGTAGAAAAAAAGAAGAAATTGTGAATAGAGATCTATTTAGAATGAAGTTGATACAAATGGAATGATTCGAACGAAGAAACGAACTGAAAAGAGGTAAATATATATTCCTAGGAGAGAAAGAGAGAAAAAAACACGGTGAAAGGAAGAAGTATTGGAAAGGGATTGTTGGCATAGGCGGCCAAATTATTTCAAATTTGGCTTCATATTGCGAATTCAATCATTTACATAACAATTCTTTGTCGCTAATTAACAGCGAAAAATTTAAAGTTCATACGTACCGCCCGGAGATAGAAAAAAATATCGTCGCCGGTTAACTTCCAGAGGAGAGGAATTCATTTGGGATGAAACTCTTTGAACTGCTTTCGAGCATGCCCGAGAGATCGCGCCTGCTCCTGGTCGCTTCGCGGGCAGTCTGTACTTTGAAGACTTATTCCCGGAATCAAAACCTTTTCCAATGAGACGCCACCGGCCCATTCTTTCAAAATCAGAGGTGCCGAACAGTGTCGTTGCGGCCCGTTTCGCTCATGAAAAAAAGCGAAGTAACACGCATTTTGGCTGCATCAAAATTTAGATTTTAGGTTGTATTATTTCGTCAAGTTAGCGTAACACTTCCAAAGCGTTTTACATGCGATCAGCGTGCGTGCAAATCGTACGAAAATTACAAAGGGTAAGGAGAATGATTGCCAGAAGCAGATAATACTGACAACTCCTTCAATACTTAATGGTTCCTACGTCGAGGTGTTAATCGTATCGATTGAGAGTCGACTTTTCAGAATCTCCTCTTCTGACGAGAACACAGAAAGGCGATGGGCAGGGCTTACATGGCGCAGCTTCTCCAAATGCTCTCCTAATCATCTACGTAATATTTTGCAGCCACAACAGGGGTTAAAATATATCAAAACAATAAGAAATAAATTGACACTAACTGGTCTTTTCGGTGAAGAAGAAAAATGGTAAAAAGAGTGAGGGGAAGATGAGGAGGGGGAAGAAGAAAATAACGATCGAGGTGCAGGAGAAAACCATTCTGCAACCTTCAATTGAATATCACACCCAAGCTCCCCCCCGTCCCTCCCAATACAGTTTGCCCGTCGCTGTCTTCGCTCCATACCGGCAACATTTTCCTGAGCGCAGGCAGACAGGCGGAGCACTCACCGCGTTGCGGCTAGCCCTCGACAGCCGGTACTCCCGCTCCTCGTCATGAGGCGGGGGACCTGCAGCACACAAGACGGGCACAACCTCGTTTAGACCCATCTGCGGACAGCGCACCATAACACAAAACAACAAAATTTTCATCATCACCGCTACAATCGTTATTCGACGTTTAGCGCGACTCCTAGCTTTTGCTGATTGATTGCTTGATTGATTAGTGATTCAGGGCGCTTTAGCTGCAAAGGTCATTCGTCCGGTAAGTGTAGTGCTTGTGTTTATCGCGGGAGGTGGCGGTGATCTTTCCCTGCTGGATTGCGGGATCCGGCGCCGACCACCCGCCGGCTTGTGGAGTTTTCCCCAACCAGGTATCTCCCATCAGCGGGGTATTGGCTTTGGTGGATCAGGGTATCCCCAGCCGAGATCAGCTCTATGCTCCAGACTGGTCTCCCGGCAAGTGCGGTACTTACCGGCAGGTACTGCATGTAATTGTACGTGTGTGTAAGTAAAGGGTGATGATAGGACAAGGAAAAAGAAGGGAAGATCGCGCGCGGGGTCTGTGGCTCGTTTGTTAGGGTACTGCTCCTGCATTCACCTGGCGTCGAATGGAGACCCACGAAAAGCTGTCGATCAGAGCAGCCGTCCGCTAGAATTCTTCTCTAGGCAGCAGTTGAATTCGACCCATCTAGCTAGTGTCGAAAACCCTGTCACTGGGGAGACTCGAACCCTAGATCCTCCCGGTTTGAGGCACTGTAGTGACGTCAATTGATACCCTGATCCACCTAAGCCTATCCACGCTGTTGTTTGATTCTACATCGGCTCCCCGGAAGGGGACGGGGAGAATCTTGGTTCTAGCCCTGGTGGAGGATTGGAAATGTGTACCCGGTTTTTCGATGATACCTTCAGAGTTAGTACATAGGGAGCGCAATAAATAGGAGGTCATGCCTTCTGACCGCATGCGGAGTTGAGTGATTCGTCCCTTGTATAGGATAAGTCGTTTTATTTTAAGTCATAGAAAAACCCACCGGAGTGAAGTGGAGTAGAGAGGGTGGGAGCAAGCTGTCTCAGAACTCACGATTGTTTACAACTTTTAAAACTGTTTGATCGTTGATTGATTAGTGATTTAGGGCGCCTCAACAAGGATAAAGTCATTAGTCCCGTAAGTGTAGTGCATGATTATCGCGGGAGGTGGCGGTGATCTTCCCCCGCTGGCTGGCGAGATTCGGCGCCGACCTACGTCAACTTGCGGGGGTATTCCCCACCAGGTATCTCAAACCAGAGAGGCACCGCCGAGATAAGCTGTGTGCTCCCGACATTTGTGGTAGTGTAGTCCCTGCGAGTGCGTGTGTAAGCAAGGGCTGAGGAAAGGAGAAGGGATCGGAAAGAAAAATCGCGCGCAAGACCTTAGCCCGTTTATTAGGGCACTGCTCCGGCATTCGCCTCATCTTGATCGGAGAATCCGCGGAGAAATACCGACCAGAGCAGCCAGCCGCTAGAACTCTCCTCCAGACAGCGGCCGAACTCGACCAAGCTGACGCGCTAATGTCGAAAATCCTACTACCGTCGGGAATCGAACTCTAAGACATCCCGGCCAGAGGCACTGCAGTGACCAGTTGTGATAATAGATCGTAGCAAAAATAAATTAAAAATAATGAAATGAAAATTTAAAAATGAAGCAATTTGTGGTAATAGATCGTAGCAAAAATAAATTAAAAACAATGAAATGAAAATTTAAAAATGAAGCAATGAACACTTAAAAGAGTAAACAATTTAAAAGCGGGATTTAGATGCGGGGGGAGGGGGGGCTACTTACACTCGTTCTCGTCGGAGCCATCCGCGCAGTCGGCTCGGCCGTCGCAGCGCTTCTCCGCGAGGATGCAGCCGCCGGTGAGGCAGGCCACGTAGCGCGCACCGCCCTCACCCTCGTCCTCGCCCTCGCCCTGGCGTTGCAGGACGCCCTCGCCTCGGCCCTCGCCTCGGCCGTCGCCTCGGCCGCCGTCGCCACGGCCGCCGTCGCCTCGGGCGCCGTCGCCTCGGGCGCCGTCGCCTCGGCCGCTCAGCGCCTCGCACGCGCCCACTGCGAACAAAGCTCTGCAAATCAGGAGGGCCAAGCGCTAGCCTTCATAATGCTGTGTGTTCAAACAAACATAAAATCGATGTTCGTTCGATACAATCAGTGATTGTATTGAATGAATATCGATTTTAAGTTATTACGAATTTCAGATTTGATGGATAACGGTACGATCAACACGCTGGATTCAGTTCATGATTGTCAATCACAAGCCCAATTCAGTATGTTGGTCGTACTGTTGGGATTCACAGAAATATATTTAAGAGACATCTTATGCTAGAAATACGTCTGTGCCCTGGATGTACTGTTGCAATTGAAAACGCATTACGCGTAGTTCTGAGGAATTTTGACCCCTTAGAAATAACATTAGAGAAGTGTACACCTTCAAAATGTCTAAGAATGAGTCAGCTCGCCATGGTTGTCATACAAACTGTTCCACTACGTCATGTCATCTCGTCAAAACGCGAAGCCATGCGACCGTAAGAGAAGACACATGGTCTTATGACGACGCCTGTTCCATTTCAACTCATGTGGCCCAACAGGTGGAGGAAGGGGATTTGGGAGGGGGTGAGGGCCCTGGGAAGCTGTTAGTGCCGGTCTTTTGAGAGCGCGAGCACGAAATGAGATGCAGGAAGAAGAGGAGGGAGAAGGGGAAGGCAAGGGGCGGGACGGCGAACGGTGAGAAATGGTGGGACAGTCGCTCGAGTGCTAACAATGGTGAAACACAGCTCGCAATACGCAGTACTCAAAAATGCTAATTTAAACAAACACATGCGCCAAAATAAGGTTTGGGGCTCGTATCCTTTGTTTGCGATGAGAAACCAGAACCATTATTATCACCACAATTGTCATCAAATAGTCACTCTTTTGACGGTATATTATTTTCCTTGGATACATCACGCATGTTGCGTACTCGTGGTTGCGCCAGTAGAGAGGACATTCAGTATATATTATCTTTCTTCTTTGGTGACAGTAATAAATGGTAATTGCATCTGTGAACAGCTGTGAGGTGGAGCTAGGCAGTAAAAATGTGGTGCATAAAATCTCAGAGAGAATATTTCATTCGTATCCAATCCTTGAATGCTATTAAGGAGAAGTCTTTACAGATTAAACAAAGACAATTACACGAATTTTTAGAATAACAAATGGTCTTGTGAGAATGCTGATGTGGTGTTGATGACATTACTGACAATGGGAATAATGTAAGTCATATGACTCAACTTAAATGTATTAGAGCCGATTTTCGGCGGTTCTGCCCCACATCATCAGTTTATAAAGGAAGGTAATACGTTTACGTTTATAAAGATTACTTACACTATTTCATTTATCCAATAACTAATGACTTGATGACAGTTTTATTAGACTGAGATATACAACTGAATTTTATAATGTAATTTGGGTAGGATATAATGTTGAACATTTGCACTACTTGAAATTCAATATCAGCGTCGTATTGGATTAACAAGTAACATTATTTTGCGCAATGAAATTAGTATCTACGTTTTTACGCATTTATATTACATTAACTGCTATTTAAATTAAGGAATGTTCTTGCTAAATCAGTTAAATGTGCGATTACAGATCATACTGTTCAACCCCTTAAAACGCTGCTTCAACTGCAGAATTTCACTGCACAAACACTGCACAACGACAGAAGTTCACGGCGTTATAAAGACACAATGAAGTGAACAGCTGTTGAAGAGATTTCTTGTACGTAAACATTGTATTCTGAATATTCAAAGTAAAACTTTCATATAATTTTTTTCCCGGCGATCTTGAGTTAATAATCGAACGAGGCCATTTCTCTGATTTTAAGGTTCTTTTTTTCTCTCACAATTTCATTCCATTACCGAAATTTTTCTACAATATATATGGCTTTCTTCGCCTTTCTTCCTAAACACCTTGTCTTCACGTTCCTAAAGGTTTTTCTAGTAAAATTTGGTACATTCAGTGGCTCTTCGGTTCTGCGGTTAGCACAGCACAAGACTCCAAATGGCACATTACATATCGTAGATGAGTAAACTTCATAAACAGGATAGGAACAGCACTTGGCACTCAGGACAGAGGCGCTAAATTGGTACGACCCCGATCATGTTATCGGGCTCCAAAAGGATCGGATTCTCTGCCTATTGTCCTATTGCGAATAAAAATCTAACACCGTTTTCAACCGCAAACTTAGTGACATTCTTAATAACTACATATCTTCAGAAAGTGCCAATAGATTTTGATAGTTTAAAATAAAGTAGATTGCATTGAATGCTTCTAGGTATGTGATGTTATATCACATGAAAACCAGTACCGCAGGCCCTCGGACCTACACAGTACATTCAAAAAATACATTTTCCATTCTACTACTAGAAAGGTTTCACAGATTAGGAATCAGAAGACTTGTTGAAGCATTGGTCTTGATATCAAGAGTGACAGTTCTTACATATAATACATTGCTTAAATTTTAATGTATAGGTTATATTAAAGCCCTGAATGAGTTCAGCGGTTAATGAGTCTATAAAATGTCATCCATGCCATCCATTTACGGTGTATAAATAAACCTCAAACCTAAAAGATGGATGCCCCTGCCACACAACTTCTGGAGCTAACAAACCAAACATAACGAAACTGACGGCTGACATGGAGATCGGCGGTTGTTTTTCTTTCGGAACAAGCGTTCAACATAATCCATAACTTTTTTATTGGTTAATTCATACATTAGCTTTGATTTATTTTACGCGTATTGCTTAACTAGCGGATTAAGAGGCGCGCTCTGCTCATTCTGTCCCTCCGCACGGCCAACCTGGCTTGCTTCGTCTCCCCTTTGCTGTGCCCGCCCATCCAGTTCGGCAAATACCTTCTGCTCGCCCTGCCCAGAAACAATACCTTCGTCTACATGCATTGCGAGTTGCGTCATGGTCAGTCACGAAATGTTTACAGTGTAACCAAATTTGTAGTGTAGCCAAAATCTTGGAATTCAGAAGATTATGCTTAAATTGAGTCGAATCGCTGAGGTATTTTCCAAGGAAATAAAACTACTTGGAATACAAACAATAAAAAAACCAAAAATTACCAATTTACGGAACTGAGGTTCATTTTCCGAAAGCTGTGAATGTCGCTAGCCGGCCGTCAGACTTTCAGATCTCTCGCATTTCGCACATTACTTCCCGGGTCTTCAATAGCGCTTGGAACCATGAAATTGCCCACAGTTCCGCTGCGATACTTATTGTGACGAAATTGGAATATCACGAAAAGCACTCTATGGGAATCAATGCACCTGGGACCAAAAGGGTAAAATAATTATTTATTGCTAATCTCCTTGGAACCGATGGCTAAATTACAAACATTTTTGCGCTGAAGATATTTTTTATTTATTGCTACATAATGTATGCAAACATTTTTACCAGACAGGCCATAACTTTACGCACTATCATATATGATTCTTTGGGTCGTAGTGATTATTTTGCACTTAAGAGTGAATCATTTTGTAGCCGTTTGAAATATTCTTTGAACAGTTTGAATGATTCTTTTGACTGATTTACAATAAATGTATTTATTATGAGAAAGGCGCTGGAGTGTTTTATACCTAAAACGCTTGCCGTATGTTTATTTTATTTTCAGTTTTATTGTTGTTGGTGAAGTACATAATTCTAATTTGTTGTCCGGATGGCCGAGATCGTTAAGGCACCATGGCTGGACCGAAGATCGCGGGTTCGAGTCCCACCTGAGGCATGGTTATATTTTTTGTTTGTCCCTATCATCACCAAATCATATCATATTCATAGTTACTATGCAATCCATAGGTACCATGGTTAAATTCAATAGTGGTCGCTAATGACTTAGATGTTTATGCAACCTAAAATATAATAAAAAAAGAAAAAATCCAAACTCGCTGTATGACGTGAAGATATACTACACGTTGTGTTGTAGGGCCAATGGCCACTACAGCGGAGTGCTGGTCCAACGAAGGCCGGCTGCGGGGGCCGGCGTGGTCAGGGTCAATCCACGCATAGAGGGCGAGGCCCGGGCCTCGGTAGGCGTCGTTTTCGCAGCACGGCGGGACCGAAGGATCGCGGGTTCGAGTCCCGCCTTGGGTATGGTTTTATTTGTGTTCGTCCTTTCACCGCCCATCATCACCAAATCATGTCATCTTCATAGCTACCATCCAATCCATAGTTAAATTCAATAATGGTCGCTAATGACCTGGATGTTGATGCGACCTTAAATAACAAACAAACAAACAAAAATTCAAACTCGCCGTATGACGTGGAGATATACGGCACGTTGTGTTGTAGGGGCCAATGGCCACTAGAGCGGAGCGCTGGGCCAACAAAGGCCGGCTGCGGGGGCCGGCGTGGTCGGGGCCAATCCATGCATTGCGGACGAGGCCCGGGCCACTGTAGGCGTCGTTGTTTTCGGAGCAGGGCGGGACCGAAGGATCGCGGGTTCGAGTCCTACCTTGGGTATGGTTTTATTTGTGTTCGTCCTTTCAATCCCTATCATCACCAAATCATGTCATATTCATAGTTACCATCCAATCCATAGTTACCATGGTTAAATCCAATACTGGTTGCTAATGACTTAGATGTTGATGCGACCTTAAATAAAAAACAAAAAAATCCAAACTCGCCGTATGACGAGAAGATGTATTACACATAGGGTTGGAGGGCCAATGGCCACTAGAGCGGAGCGCTGGGCCAACGAAGGCTGGCTGCGGGGGCCGGCGGGGTCGGGGCCAAACCACGCATCGCGGGCGAGGCCCGGGCCGCGGTAGGCGTCGTTGTTTTCGCCGGCGCGGCGCGTCGGAGGCGTCGGAGGCGGTGGAGGCGGCGGAGGCGGCGGAGGCGGCGGAGGCGGCGGAGCCACCAGGGTCGCCCGGTGCGACGCGGTGCCGCTGCCGATGCCGATGTCGGTGCGAAGGCCGTGAACGGTCACTGCCCTGCCTCAACAGGCTGCCCACGCCCCACATCGAGTTTCCTTTTCTCTTCTTGGAAGCCGGGAAACTTTCTTGGGTTTCG